CCACGTCTGGTACAATATTTCTTTGTAAGTTTCTGCAGAGGAGAACCACTAAGACTTTTTCTGTCAATCCTCCTTTCACTGGAAGCCCAACGAAGGCTAAGATTTGCGCAACGTAGAGATTTACCTTTTAACAAAATGTACAGAGAACTCTAGTGGCAAGTACTGTTTACATTACAGCTAAACATATATATATATCTCTCTATCTCAATTCTCTGGAGAAAAGACTGATGCATGCATCTTTAAATAGGTGCATTTCCAGCACTATTTGAATTCTAATGACTATGAGATCACTAATATTTCTACTCCTGAATAGTCTACTACTTCCAATCATCATTTCTTAAAAGTCTCAAGAAAATATATGTACTCCACCTACCCTAACATCTGTCCAGGAAAAGAGGTGGTCTTATTTTCTGTTTCTAGGATTGTAATTATGTTAACTGAAGATTATTACATTAGGGAGACACTATTTGATATGATAACATGATGCTATCATAACATCGTCATAATGTCTCACAAGATGATTTTTCTTCTGAAATCTGGTTATTCCCACACACCTTTTGCTGATTAGTGCCCAAAGATGTATAGGCATCATACTTTGATTTAGTTACTCAGCCAGTAGCTGGTAGTTCCTTGAAAAAGTATCCACAGAAGCTCTGGTAATCCAGCTTGCTAAGGACTGAAGGAAGTTACATAGGAAAAAGAGGCCAAATTACTTTTTTACTATCTTGGGACTAAGAAGCTAGTAGAGATTCATCTTCTGATTCTGTTGGTGACCTGCTTTATGATCTTAAGCAAATTTATTTACTTTTATGAATTCAGTTTCTGCTTTTACGCTGTGGTTGTCAAGAGCTTACACATATAGTTTAACATAACTTAGCATACGGGAATCTTCTAGCGGCTTCCATGTTTTTACTTTATATGAAGATATTTATGTGAAGTAATTTATATAAAGAAATTTAAGCCTGCATGTAACCTTATAAGGGCTTAGCTATAAAAGAATATAAATACATAATAAACTCTTTCTTACTTCAAGCAATGTAAAAACAGCAAGTGCATCTCCTTTTAGTATTGGAGATCTGATTAACAGCAAAGGTTTGGTGACTGATAAGAATCACCTTTATTTTGAAATAGCTTCAAAGAGATTAAATCAATCAGTAAAGCAGTTCCACAAGGTATTAATGTTGGCATTAGTTATTGCTGAGAGTCAACAACAAAAATCATGTGCTGAAGTGCTTAATTTCTTCATATATCAGATAACATTCATTACCAGTGTAAACTGAAATTAATTTTCCACATGCATTCACTGATTTTGTATGTCACTGAATAAAGATGATATTGCCTGATCAAAAATAGATAAATCTTCCCAAAGCTTTGAAATGGCTTCCCTGGTCTTGTGCAATGAGATGTACCCAAATCCTAGAAAGACGGATGAAATAGAATCGCTGAGTGGAACTTCTACCTGAAACAGGAAAGGATATATAAAAAACAAAACCCCATCCCCTTAGTTTTTATTCGTAACCACTGCTAAGCTGTTATTTCCAGCAAAAAGGCAGATTCTTGGCACATAGGGGGTAGAAGATGTCTTGCTATGTGTCTAAAGACGTGTTTGAGTCTCAGTTCAGACTGGTGCTAGCAATCAATTGCAGCTCATAAGTACCTCATTACTCAAGCTAAAGACTGGACAGCCAAACAGCTCTCACGCTGTTGGAGATGCATGTAAATAAATAAGTCACTGGGTATTGAAACCAGTGTATTTTACTGTCAAGGCTTACTGTATTACCTACACTCGCATAAACCACTATGTTTTTTTTTTTTTAAATCAGATTTTCCCAATGCTTATTCTTTTTGGAATATTTATCTGCTCCATAATGTCCTTGGAGCTCACGATAAGGACATATTTGTATGTATTGTAAAGAAATTTTAGTCACCAGTCCCTTGTTCGTAAGAATTCTGCTTGAAATACTGGTCTACAGTATTTTATTACCATAAAATTACTGGGCCAAATCCTAAAAAAGATGCAAATTATTAAAGTTCTGATAAGCTTAATTGATGTAAGTTGTTGTATTCTACTGACTTTAGAGGAGGAGCAACAGATGATCTGACCCACAATAAAACCCTTGATCCTACTCCTTTTGTTTGTTTTGGTTGTAAAAGTAGAGATTTTTTTTGACATATCTACATTATTTATAGCAAGCTGATGAGCATATCTGAAAATAAATCAACCTCTCTTACTGTGTTGCTGTTCTTGATATGTTTTTTCTTTCTTTAGACTGTTTTCTAGTGGTGGTGGTGGTGTTTTCTGGAGATTAGGTGATGTTGCAGTTGTTACGATTAATACTTCTGGGTGTGACAGGTTAAAGCTCACAGTGTTGATAAAGTACATTTATACTTGACAAATCCTTCTGAAATGAACAGTCCTAGCAGGAGGTAGTATTTTGTAACAGCATTTTGTGTTCTGGAAAAATATCAATCAGCAGGGTTTTATTATCTTTGTTAAAATAACATATTTAGGTTAGTTTTGATGCAATTATTCTAAAGGTTTCTTCTCATTTTAAATATTGATGTGAATGTGAAAGTGGAGGACTAGTTTGTCTTAAAAGTTTTCCTCTTATAAGTGTACACTTTAATTCTGGAGAGAAATCAAGCACAGCATGAAAATAAAGTTAAAACAGTAACACTGAGAACCCAAAATAGAATATCAACTAGTTTTTAAAAAGTACTGTTAATAAAATACAAAAATTGTGAATTGTAAGCTTCCCTAAAAACTATGTATTGAATTAATCCCTGCATTTCCTGTTTTAAAGAAACAAGTAGTTACTGTACAAGTCAATTAGTAGGGAAAACCACAAGGGAATATACTTCCTACACTACCTTATTGTGCATTAGAGAGTGAAACATAAATATAAGACCTTTCTTACCCTGTGTTAGTAAGCTCTGCTTAGAAGAGCGTGGAGAACAGAGAGCTGTCTCGGGCATTAAATAAAGTAGGAATGGGAACTTGAAGTTGGGGGAAACAGCACCGCATTGATCCGAGCAAATGAAAGCTTAATTGTCTGAAGTCCGCTCTTCTATTTTATGTGGGTCATTTACAGTAATGCGTAAAATGCTGATTATTTCTTCAGTATTTAAGCCAGTAATGCTAGCTAGATGGGCCTTTAATTTCTTTCTTCACCTGTGGCTATCATGATTACTTCCATCAAAGTTTAGCTCTTTTTCATATTTCTCTGGAAACCTCTTGATCTCATTGCATTAGTTGTCTCCCTCCCTCAGTTAAATTCTTCATGTTTTCCTATCTGATACTAATTTGTTCCTCTGGTTCAATGTATAGCCAAGAGAGTAATTTGTTCATCTTGAATAGCACCACTGAAATCACAGAAGTACTTGATGCCCTGATTTATTAAGGCACTTGAGGTCAGTGCCTTAAGCATGTGCTAAAAATGAAGTAAATGCCAACACGACCTCTAAAGGATTAGTCACCTGCATAATGGTTTGCAGGGTCCTTAAAAATATGAACTTGTGGAACAGATTTGCTACTGATGTAAGGTAAGTGCAGCTGTACTGAAAGCTAAATGATGCTGACAATACTTTCAGTGGAATTATGACAAGCCTACGCTAAGCCTTCCCCTTTTCTTGTCTTGTGCCATGCTGATACATTATAATATGCTAAAAATAAATACCAAAGTTAGAAAAATGCTTCCGACATTTTTAATTGTTCATATGCCATTTAGTGTTTAACCAGTACTACTAGCATCTCAATAAGAAACTATATCGTTAGAGCCTATAATTTTTTTCCATTTGATTTTGTAGGGTCATATTGTCATGCTCTTTCACATTTGCTTGATAATAGGATATCTGTGGTGTCACTACTACCTCACTGCTAATGAAAATAGGAATTGCAAATTGGATGAGACAAAACTTAGATACCCTGGATTTGCAGGTTAAAGTATTTCTTGTGCCATAGATGAAGATGTGTGTTTTGTGTTAGGAAACTGTGGAGGAAACAAGATTTTATATTTTCCTGTTGAGTCTGAAAATTTTCCTCACTGTGACTACGAACTCTTTTTTTCCTTTTCCTAAGGAAAAAACTGTTTTGTATAGAGATGTTTCTTTCTTTATGGTCTTTTTTTTCCTTATAAGAGGTGCCCCTCTAACTCATGTAAAATATTTTGATTATGAGAATATATCCTTGCAAGCCAGCTGGCAAAATGTTTTAAAAGTTAAAGATCTACTGCAAATGTTTTATTCTGCATGAATTCACAGAAGTTGTATTTTGTATCTTTTTGCAATTAAAACTGTAAAGTTAATTCCAATGTATAGGAATAATATTTTTAAATTTTTAGGACAGATTACAAACTTTTATATAGTGCTTTTCGCAGATATTTAAAACATTCTTTTTGTAAATTTTGTTTAAAAAAAAAGAATGTTCTGTTTTAGGGGCAGCATTATTGCATTTCAGAAATAATATCCTGTAAAATGCCTGTAACAAGGTATTTTATCTGAAAGCCCATTGTAGCTTTCTTATTATGAGTTTCAAGCTTCTGCAACAGTAGAAGTGTTCTTATTCAAATGTGTATTATTGCATTCATTCCTCTAATAGCAGCATTCCATGATATCAACCTATAAATAGACAAAGAAACAATTGCACAGAGTACTTGTTATTCACCCTCAATATTTTTTATTTCATTGTTAGATATCAGACTTTGGAAGAGTTGTATGGAGTATTTGCATTGAATGCAGAAAGAAAAAAGTTATTTCCTCTGAGTATACACATGCTTTCTATCTGTTTCCTTGGGATATAAAAAGTTACTGGTTTCGTTCCATTGGTCATTTTTATTGCCTTCCTGAAGACAATGAAAATTGCACAAGGCTCCATATAAAAGCATCTCCAAGTGTAAATTAAATCTATGGTATAGTCTTTTGTAAATAGAGGAGAATGTACTCTTAGATAATAAATCTTTTTTGTGTATATCAACAAGATGTCTATTTTTTTTTCTTCCTAGATACACCTTTAGTTAAAATCATTTCTTCCAATTCATGGCCTGAAGAAGGACAATCTATAATTTTGACTTGTGAATCCAAAGGAAAACCAGTGTAAGTGATTTAACAAGTAATATGTTTTTGTTATTTTCCTTATTCTGCTGTGATTGCAATCTTCAGCTGCAGAAATCTGCTGGTTTTGTCTTGTCCTGGGGTGTAAAGTAATCTCTGGTATAGAAAACCCCTTGAAGCCTGTCTTCATTAAGTGTCTATAGAAGATTAGTCTTTTACTTTGTCATCTATTTTAGTTTTCAGGAAGAATTCCAGCTGTGAGTTGTTTTTTTTTTTTCCAGTCAGGTATATCAACCTGAAAGGAGTGCAGGCTTAATCAGTCACTGTTTACATCATTGAACTGATGGTAGAAGAGAAAACGTCTCATGAAAATCTTCCTACATCAACTAGCCTCAGAGAAAATATATTGAACTTTCTGGATGCTTTGGCTGTCATTTACAGGGGAATTTGAAGTTTAATGATATGTGCAAGTTGGCTGCCTGTTTCTACCAGAATTTGAAAAGATGTAGCCTGCTTTAAGAATATAAATTGTTTTACTCGGAAATTAACATCTCTGCCATCAATATTTTTTAAAGGAAGATCTGCAGAGATTAACTCTTGCACAGAATCTACTATTTAAATAGACTTCACTCTTTAAAACTGTATCTTCTCAGATGAGCTGTTATATATTTACCCATAAAGATACATAAATAATCCAATTGCTTCGTATTAAGTTAATATGAATCAAGTTTCTTCAATATTGACCTACTGCTCAAAAGATTTATATATAGTGTTATATGGAGTGGTGACACACAGCTTTAGAAAGGTCTTGAAAATGATAGTGCAATAATATTTTTGTTCAAGAAAAGGTGCAAATTACATGCCAAAAATCATGTCACTTAGGGCTGAATTTCTCCCTGGTGTAACTTTAGTGACTTTATGGAATTGCTTAATGTAGGAACCTGAAGTCAGATGTAGGTCAAGTCAGGCATTTAAGTTCAAAATTTCTAATTTGAAAAGCTCTTCTGAGTTTAGTCTGGCATCATTTAAACTCTGTAAGTACTTTTCTTTTTTCTATTACGTGCCTGTATCATTTTAAAGCAACTCCTCCATCCAAATCTTGACTGGGCTGAGCAGCTCGGCTTATGTCAACTGCACTACTCAGCTTGGTGTCATCTGCAAACTTGCTGAGGGTGCGCTTGATCCCACTGTCTATGTCATTGATGAAGATATTAAACAGTACCCCAACAGTACGGACCCCTGAGGGACACCACTCATCACCAATCTCCATCTGAACATTGAGCCATTGACCCCTACCCTCTGGGGGCATCTATCCAACCAATTCCTCATCCACCAGACAGTCCACCCATCAAATCCATATCTCTTCAGTTTAGAGAGAAGGATGTTGTGGGGGACTGTGTCAAGACAGATACAGAGGTCCAGATAGATAACATCCGTAGCTCTTCCCACATCCACTGATGTAGTCACTCCATCACAGAAAGCCAGGCAGGACTTGCCCTTGGTGAAGCCATGCTGGCTGTCTCCAATCACCTCCCTGTCCTCCATGTGCCTTAGCATAGCTTCCAGGAGAATCTCTTCCACGATCTTCCCAGGCACAGAGGTGAGACTGACTGGCCTGCAGTTCCCCGGGTCTTCCTTTTTTCCCTTTTTAAAAATGGGGGGTTATGTTTCCCCTTTTCCAATCAGCAGGAGCTTCACCAGACTGCCATGACTTCTCAAATACGATGGATAGTGGCTTTGCTAACTTCTTTCCCCCTTCTCGGACCCTCAGATGCATCTCACCAGGTCCCATGGACTTGTGCACCTTCAGTTTCCTTAGATGGTTTTGAAACTGATTTTCTCCTACAGTGGGCGGTTCTTCATCCTCCCAGTCCCTGCCTTTGCCTTCTGCGGCTTGGGCGGTGAGGCTTGAGCACTTGCCAGTGAAGACTGAGACAAAAAGGTCATTGAATACCTCAGCCTTCTCCATATCCTGGGTAACCAGGTCTCCTGTTTCGTTCCGGAGAGGCCAAAGTCAGCTCTCCTGAAGTCCTGGATAGTGAGCTTGCTGTCAGTCTGTTAAAAGTGGGCACAAAGATGTCACTCTGTTAAAAAAGAGACAATTAATACTCTCAGATATTAGATTTTCCTCTAGACCCTTGTATTTGTTAGTCATTTCTGAAGGCAGTAAAAAAACCAGAAAAATGGTATGTTTTAGCTTGACATACCCAATATTTTCTATTTGGTACACTAAATTTTGTGGATATTCTTTATATGTTAGTATTAGGAGACATTGGTTAAAACATACTAATTAAAATAGAGCTGCAATTGAGGTGTTTAGTGATTTATTTATTTTTTTAAAATAGAACTCAGTTGCAACATTAATGGATTCAAATGCAAACCTTACATGTGGTTTTGAAAGGGCAGCCAAATAAAAACACCACACCACAGAATTATCAAGGCAGGGCACCTCTGTGTGGTAGCCTTTGGGGCACAAATATTTTGCCAATAAATGCACCTCTAATTGTCCATACCACAAGAACTGCCAACATCAGCTGCTCTCTATTGCTTCATTAGGTCAGTCTTTCACGGCGCAGAGCCAGTAATAAATAGGCATCCTCCTGGGAGCAGTGTGCAGTTGCTTAGCATGAGAAACAGTACTGTCATGCTCGCAACCTACATTATGATTACCTTCTGGCTTGTAAGAGGCAGAGAAATTGGAGAGGCCCACAGAGCCCAAATATGTCAGTGTCACAAGATAAGTGATGAACTGTGGGCTTCGTGGAGAGCTCAGAGCCAACCATGGTCCTTCATAGCCATTTACACGCCATGGGTTAATTTCTATACACTGTCAACTTTATGTCACAGTTACAACAGTCTCTCCTGTTTCCTGTAGGCAGCAGTGAATCATACCAGTAAATGAACACTTACTTATAGGTACATTTCTCTTATATGTCAGAGCAATTCTCACAAGCTTCAGAATGACATTAGAGATGAAAATGGAGAAAGAATGAAGCTGGGTTGTGGCTGTGCTGACATTCATGGCAGTTACAGCTTCTGCAGAGTAATTCTTTCCCAAAAGGGAAAAGCAGAATGAGGCTAAAGCTAGAACGTACTTACCCCATCTTACATCTCATCACCAAGACCCTTCTTGCGGAGATTCTGTCCCTCCAACCATGTGCATCATGGATACCCAGATATTGTGTTTCAAAGCTACAACACAGTCCTAAGGAAAAGTCCTACTAACTTAGGGAATGGGAGGGAAGCCTTGCTCAGACCAACACCTCTGGGAAATCAACTGCCCTCTGCATCTCCTGCCAAAACAGCATCCTCCAGAGATATAGCAAGAGGTGACGAACAACTGTTTACTTGGTGTGAGAACTGGAGGACTGAGGCCCTGCTAAGGTTTCATACTTTAGGGAATGAGATTTGTCTTGGCCAGTCAATGGCCATGACTTTGGACAAGAGAAAAAATGGCCTCAGACACTTGGATGCCTGCAGCATCGATTGTCGTAATGTGTGAGATGGGCTGGGATTATCCCAGATTCTGAGGTTGCTAGTTGCTATGAATGGGTTTGTGTCGCCTCACGTTTCTGGTCTTGGTGCAGAGAGCAATGTTGGAACAGGAGTCCTGAGAGTGAGCTAAGGGGGAAAAAAGAAGTGTGGAGAGGGGGTGGAGAGGAAGATGGAAATGTGGGTGAGCCATTTTGAATGATCCAGTGAGGCAACAGGGGAGGGCGTAAGAGGGGATACACAAATTCTGTAACTGCTGTTTTATCTCTCTGCTTATCACTGTGAGGATGAGGATAGCTCTGACTCTGGTCATGACCCTGTGCTTATTGCTATTAGGGGAATTGCTTTGGAGGCAGGAGCTGTTCTTTTGGGTAAGTACTGTATTGCTGCAATAGAAGTGTGATGATACCAGTAAAAAGAGCAGGCCGGTATCCTGCCTATTCTGCGATGGTTTTGCAGAGGCAGGCCATGTGGGGAATTAATAAAGTGTCACAGATCGTTGTAGACTCTGCTACAGTTCCCTCTAGAGTATGTATTGTGGCTGGTGCAGCTTCAAGCAGAGGTAGGCTGCCTGAGAGGTGCTGGGGAGGTTACTGCAAGAGCCATCTGTCCTTGGGTTTGCCCCCAGGGGCTCTGATGGGACATGTGTCATGACACCAGTCCCATGTGGTGGGATGACATACTGACCACAGTGTGAGTCAGAATGGGAGTGGTAAGCTGGTGAGGGGAGGAGGTTTCCTCACACATCACCTTCCAAAAGACCTGCCTCTTGTTTCCATATGCAACTCTGGCTAAATTTATTTCCTCCAGGGTCTAGCATCAAAGTTTGAGTATTCTCTAAAAAAATCAAGTTACACTTACGGATTTAGATCTCTGGATTTGATGATGTTCTGGTCCAGTTTGTGTAGCACTTGGGGCACCAGTTATAAACAACAGTGGAATGCTGGTATTTGGAATATTGTGTGCAAAAAGATGAGACATTTTCAATTAAAATTTTCTGTTGGTGAAAAGGAAAAAAAGAGGAAATATATTCATCAGTTTACCACAGAGATTGTTTTTAAACCTTATAAACATAACTCACTATAGAAACATAACCTATTATCTGAAATATTTTTAGGGAACTTGAGGTAGCATTTGTGAGGATTGTTGTCCAATTGATCGATGTCCAGTTGGTAGACCAAATTTAAGAGTTTTCTAAAAAAGTATTTAGCCATTTCTCTGCATAACTTAGGTCAAGACACCCTGTAGCTGACATCACTATTCAATAGCATTCCTCTTTTGGAGATACTATTGTATAGTTTCAAACCAAATTGAAACTAACCTCTTGTCTTTTCAATCCTTAGAGCTATTTTGTCATTTCCAACATTTTTGACTGGATGCCTAGAAAGTTGTCAGGCTATAACGTTTTAGTAAATGAACTTGCCTAATATGTCTGTAAGGTGTCAGTGGCTCTTTTTAATTTATTTCTTTTTTAGCATAATATAGTTTTACCTAGGCTTTGTTTATTTTCCAAAGAAGGAAATGTAATTAAGCTTCAGAAATCATAGACATCCT